AACTGGTTAAAGAAAGTCACTCTTTAATGACCCCACTGAGCAAGCCAAAGGCGATTTTGTACATCACTTAGGGTGGTAAGGTTTGTGTGCATGTCTATGTGTGTGTGAAGTGAGGCAAATAATCACCTACAGCTGGCAAAAGTGTGAATTATGTAACTAAATTTTGACTGGTATTTTGGATGCATAATTACTTTAACAACATGTGCAGACATAAAAAAGGCCTTTGGTGCAAAATTTAAAAGTGAAAAAGTCAAACATAACCTCAGGATGATATCTGAAGCATGTGCCCTTCCCATGGTAACCTAGTTTCTGCAGAATGCTATAGTTATTGGATCAGCTTCAAACAGTGTAAAAAGCATTTCGAATATTTACCGTTACCACTGTTTGATTGTAGCAAGAGTGACTGTGGTGTTTTGAAATTGTATGAAAGGTTATGAAAAGTTTGTCTAAAATTGTAACATTTCTGAATACACAGAGGTCATGCATGCAGATCCAGTTCATGCCAATGCCGTCTGCCAGTCACTTATATTAGCTTTTATGGTGGCGTTTCATCCCAGATGTAAGTGAACATTAGAGACTTCATGCGGTAAATGCTATTTTATTAGCAATAGCGTTCCAAAACCTAAAAAATAAACAAACCATGTCTTTCATGTGGCTTCAGCATTGGCAGAGGAGATATGAGAATCGGCATACCCTCTCATTTAGAAGCAAGGCTAAAATTATCATGACTTATTAAGAGGTTGAAATCAGAAAATTGACAAAGTTTCAAATTGGGTGGCCGTTTTATGGTAATGCCAACTTTTCCAAAATATAGAACCACACTTTCAATTAATATGCAAAATGCTATATTAATACGTAGTAATCAAATTAATGCCTATTTTTGCCTTTCGAGTGGTTACTTGTGAAATGAAAGAAAAGATGCATTAACGGAACCCAAATGCACTCAGACAAACGAAATGTGTGCCTTTGTTCGCTGCTAATTATTCCTCAAGAGTGTATGAAAGATAATTCAGGAAAGGAAGGAACAAATTTGTTAAATGGACTCTCCATTGTTCCCACAAAACCACCACCATTTTAGATATGGCAGCCATAGATTCTGTGAAATTACTCAATCTCATTGTTATAGAGCCTTATTACCCCCTAGATAATAGAGTCTAGTCAAATACAATTTTATAGAAAGGCTGCCTCGCTCTCCCTCCTTCTGTACCATCCTCAGAAGTGGCAGGGATTCCTGATAGTGATTGGTAATACACTGATGAGGTGCTTTTGTTTAAGAAACAGATCTTTGCTGAAGCCTGAGTGTGGAATGCTTAAATTGAAGTGCTCTCCCAAATCTTATCAGAAAATTGACTAAATGAACATACTGTGTGTTTTCCCACTTAAATGCATGTTGGGTTTCTGCAAAGAATGCATTCATGAGATAGTCAATATGACCCTGACGTAATCACAATGGAAGCTGATTTGTTAATAACATCTGAGTTCCCTTCAGTGGCGCCTGATTAGCATATGCTGAGCAATGCATTTACACTTCCTTTCTGTAAGAACAACAATAGGTCAGTAAACTGGACAAATGTGGCCTCGTGTGATCTTTGTAATGGGTAACCAGTGAGGTCAACACTTCTGCCAAACATCAAACGATAACGAAATTATTTTAGGTCTGCTGCATGCAGCATATTGAGGTGATGTGGCAGTGTAGCATACTACTGTTTGATATTGCTATTTATTAATGCATAACATGCATTCTTTCATGGATAATTTTCAAATCATTTTATCTCATAATTACGACTTTTGTTTATCTCGTAATTATGACATAGTATCTTAAAATTTGTCTTTCACCAATATTTTCAACTTTTTATTCCATAATTTTGACTGAAAATGTATTTAATTTTTCTTTCTAACCCATAATTTCACATTTCTATCTCATAACTATGACTTTTAACCATAATTTAAACTTTTCATTTCAGAATTTTGACTGAATATTTAATTTTTTTTCTTTCTAACCCATAATTTCATTTTTAGCTCATAATTAGGATTTAGTGTCTTAAAATAATGACTTTTTAACCCATTATCTCATAATTTTGACTTAATATCTTAATGTCTTTCTAACCTATAATGTATCTCATAATTATGAATTAGCATCTTGAAATTGTGACCTTGACTGATAATTTCAACTTTTCATCTTGTAATTATGAATTAATATCTTCAAATTTTCTAATCCATAATTTCTAAAATTACTTTTTAACACCTTAAAATTTTGGCTTTCTAACCCATCATTTTGACTTTTATCTCATAATTATGACTTAGTATCTCATACTTTTGACATATCTCATTAATTTAACTTTGTATGTCCTAAGTGTGGTTTACCAAACCATGGATATATTTTTCCTAATATGGTAGAAATTGGCTTCTATAGTAGGCTACTGTACAAGGCACATATGCAGTAAGAAGTACGCTAGTATTGCTTCTCGAACATAGACTTGCCATGTTGAAGATCTTGACTTGTAAATATTAATTAGAATACGTGACTGGACGCTCTAGAGCTGTTACCAAGCAACGTCAGTGTGACCTAGTTAATATTCATAAGCTAAGCCCTTCCCCACAGTAGTGCATCGCTGCTTGTGTTGGTCCTCCAGCGGTCTGTGTTATATGTGGCAGTCGGGGGCCATCGGGAAGGCATGTGTCTCTCCGAGGTCTCAAATGAAAACACTGACCCCGGAGTGCGAAGAATTCGCGCAACAAAGCACCACATATTCCACGAGATTTTTTCCCAGCGTTTGAAAACTTCTCATTGAGCTTATAGACTTGGCTAGTGGAAAATATAAAATCCGATTCAATGAATTCACATTGGATGAATTTTCATAGACTCGGAAAAGAGAAGTTTAAATTGACTTGTCAGTCACATAAAGTTTGTAGTTAACGAAAAAATAAATAAATACTAAAAGCTTGCAGTTGATCAAAGTTACTTTAATTTCCCTGATTTAATAAGTACATATCTACCATAATCCTTAAGTTGTACTGTACGACTGACTGTAAAATAAAGAATTAAGACAAAACATTAAAGTAAAACCATGTCATATTAACTTAAACTGGAATGTTTAGTTGGTTTGTTATTGATCCAAGGTCTACCTCCTCTAACCAACTCCTTCAACGTTCCCACCGAGTCCATTTGTTCATCATATATCAGTTTATGATGATTAAACAACCAGCTAAATCTAGACAGAAAACATGGAAAACCAACTACAAGCCACAGTGTAACTTCTAGTGCCACATGTGAACATTTGTTTCCAAGTAGGCAGGATCATGATTCATGATCACAAGTCCCACTTTACATGTTAAGCCAAAGTGAGATGGTGGATAAAACAAACCTTCACAAGCAAGTAGGCCTAACCTTAATGCAGTTTTTCAACAATTTAAACCTTTTGTAATCCAATAATCGTTTAAAAAGCACCATACAATCATTCGTAGGGTGGATCTTCCATCATGTGCTCGCTCAGAATCACAAAGAACCTTGTGACAATTATGAATGACTGTTACATTTGATTATCTCCTGATAAGGGCAATCTGTCAAAAAAAACTCTTTGTCCCACTTTAATTGATGGTCCACTTTTGCTAATGGTTCAGACAGGCATGCAATATCATCCGAAACAAAATGCATTTTAATATGAACTCCGGGCTTTGTTGAGAACAAGTTGTGATATGATCTGCAAATGGTTGTGATTTAGGGTTGTTTTGCAAGAACTGTTGATTCATTGTACTACTAAAGTGGATAGTGTGGATGGTGTATAGGCGGCTCGCCGGGGCAGCCTCGCGGAACAAGGCGAGCGTGAGGCAACTTCTCTGAGATTCCTCAAGAATGAAGCGCGCTTTCTGCCTTCTCTCCGGACCCCCGTCCCTTGGTATCGAGCTCTCTGAATGACTGCACGTTCACTGGAAGATTTCAGTTTGGCTCTATAGGGGACGACTGCTCTCTGTGATTCCTCGCGGTGGCTGGCTGCTGTACAGAGCCAAATGAAGGATACAAGCGGAGTTGGAAAGGACTGACTCGTATTTGGAGTGGGAGACGCGATCGGCTCCGAAGCTGATGTTTATGGGGACTGTAGCGCAGCAGAACATGACGGGCTGGGCGATCGTACTGTATAGCTAGGCTACGGGACGTTAACGGATTTGACAGCTTGTAGGCAAGTGCTGAGTGTTTGTCTAAGCAGAAAGGATTCGGTTGAAGTGACAAAACGAGGACACCGTTGCGCACGAAAGCGAAATCGATGCGACCATGCAACTTATCTATCCATAGACTGCTGCTGCGTAACGCGCAAGTCCCCTCGCTCAGTGCTCCTGTTTGCATTTATGGATGAAACGCGCGTTTTAAGGCACCATGCAGCGTAAACGAGACGTGGTTACAACAGATTCCAGTGTGATAAACCCTTAAAGGAAAAAAAAACAGGTTGCCCCTATATGGACGTATTTACATATCTGTATAATATACATCCTCCTATTGATCCGAATTGCGCAATATTGAACGAAGTTCTGAATTGCATTGTAACAACTATAAGAATAATAATGCATGCACTCATGCTGGTGGTGATTATAATGTTCGTCTCGTCTTTAATTTTGTGTTTGCATGCATGTGTACAAATAGGCTACGCAAAGACATGGAAATGCACACTAAAATAGTCAAGATAGAAACGATTCAAATAAGTAGCAGTATCGATCAAATAAAAGGCAGTTTTACAGTTGTGCGCTTTATTTGAAACGGTTTCCGTGTGCAAAATATACACAGCGGCTTTGTGCTTTTCTCATTTTGAGAGCTAAAAGTGGCTGGTGTGATTGTATTGAATCTAGTTATTTATTTTGGTCAGCAAGTTCAGTCGTCGCTTGATATAAAGGACAGCAGCACCCGTGCCACACTTCCACGGCGCGCGAGGGCTGGACAGTGTCTCACAGAGGTCTCTGGGCTCTTTTATACGAGAGGTTGGGCTCCGTATAGGTCGGGCTTTGCATATGTGTAATCAAACCAATGAGAATCCCCTGCGCGTCTGGCACACGGCAGAGCAACAAACTCTAGGAAGAAGAGAAGCGTAATTTAGGGGGTGTATCCCTTGTTTAAGACGCTGTTATGGTAAAGCCAATCGCCAGATGTTTGTGTTCCTCGCTCAGATTGTGAGACTAAGCAGAACGCCGCGTTACTACGCGGAGGCTGATTCGCGTATCCAAGCCACTTTTAGCCAAAGTCTAGCTACACGCGATCTCTCTCGCCCACTTTACGCGCAGGATTACGCCCGTTTGCTCGTCTATTTCGCAGAGCTGCAACGCTTTTCTGTCATTCTTTAACAGGCAGAAGGAAATGGCAAAGGAGAGAGGAGCGCGGCTGGGAGAGCGCAGAGGAAACCAGAGCTGAATGGCAGGATGCGAGCGACCTGAAGACGCACAAAACCTCGCATTTCTACAGCGCTCAGACCCTTTTACGCCTTCTTTTGGTTTCCTTCCTTGCGAACGAGAGGAATTACCACCCCTATACGACCACTTAAGGATTTTCTTTTTTCAACATTTTTCAAATTTGTATTATTTTCACACGCAGAACTCAAGGAATCGAGGATGCATTGTGGATTAGTGCTGATCCTCTTTACGGGAATCTTTCTCATCGTCAGTGCTTTCAAAAATGGTGAGTGAACTGGAATTCAGTGACCGGGGTGTTTAATGACTTTTCTTAGAGATTAGATGGGGAAAGCCTAAAAGTGAGGGGTTGCGACTTCATTCTGGTCACCTGCTCTCAGCTGCCGCCGGTTTCTGACACTGGATGGCCAGGCAGATCATTGAAGATCGAGCAAGCGCACTGATTGCGGTCAAATGTGTTCACATGGTAGACATATTTTAGAATAACTTCAATTAATAATATTAATGTTTAGCAAAGGGCGAATATTTACAAAATATATTATTTTACATTATATTATTATGTTTTACATGTATTATAATGACAAATTATAAGCGTATCGCGTTATATTTCTTAAAAGATGAAAGCAACGTTAACGTGCTTTCACATATTTCAAAATGTAATGAAACCCATATTTTCATAAATACTGTATTCATATTTGAATATAAATTAACTACGCATTAGTTGAGTGTTATGCTATTTTTTTATTAAGAACGTGTTATTAAAAAAAGTTATTATAAAGTGCTACCTAAAGTTTTCTGTTCGTCTAAAAAGTTTTGTGTTACTGACTCTAATCTCGGCCAAATTTGGGAGACTGCACATTATTTTAACTGCCTAACTGTAATATTTACGGTCTGATATTACGAACTGCAATTATAAATAATAATTTTGCCCCATTGTCCTGAATACGTTTAGTTAAATGTAGGTGTAATAACATTTATAAACTTTGGGAGAAGTATTATTTGCTAGGCCATTTTAGATGTGTTATTGTGATTAGTCATGCAGTTTTCAGTCCTGTTTGCGCACTCGTCCGCGTGTTTTGCTAATAAAGTCACATAATGTGCAGCCTATCATGTCTGTCCGGAATAAAGTCTAGAAGGCTTCAAGTGAAATTTTAATGGGGTCACTTGCATATGGTTTAGTCGCTTACGTTTTTATGAGCTCATGTGTAGATAATCATGCGTATACTGTACGTTTATGAATTAAAATAATGATTGAGCATAACAAATTCTGTGTTTTTAAGAGTGATTATAGGGTCATGGTTCCCTCTCAACAATATCAACCTCAACACAAAAGCCTCTAACGATAAATCACCAAAAGGTCATTTACTTCTATGTTTTTTTTATGCATTGTACTTTACTAGACCAAATTTAAAACATCCAGTTCATTCTGTTTGCCTGAGATAATTCTTTACACTGAAATATCTTGAGTTGTTTTAGCATAATTGCACATATTTTCTGCTGGCAGTTTTACGTTGAAGCTGTCATATTTTCTTGTCTGAATGTGTTGGTGTTTATTAAATAAAAAGTTGGACATCTCCGTTAGACTGTGAGCCATGTGGTGCTCCTTAAGTTTGTTTGTTGTTCATAGATATGATGAAATTCAGTGTTGATCAGCTGTAGAGTGGTTGAAAGAGCAAATAAATAAAACATGGGAGAGACAAAGGTCATGCTTCCCTCCCACATAATGACATTAAATGTAGGCGTAAATATCAAGCCTTTATTTAGTACTCAGAAATGGGTCAGAAATGACTAGAGGTGCTTTTCTCTGTTGTAGTGAATGCTTGGAGAGAAACGGCATAGTCATTCTTATGTCAAACTATACAGTAGTGGTACTGTATTAGGTGTTCAAAAATAAACCATGCAAGACAGTGTCACAATGAACATGGAATGCGTTTGCACCATGGAAAACCATGTTAAAACTGTTTTCATTTTCTTATCACTGTAAGTACTCAGTGTATTTATTCACTGTATTATATATAGTTGTGCGTTGTTGGTTGGTAAACCAACATGTGAAACTCGGGTTGATCAGACGGATCTTTCTTATAAACCTGGTTCAGCTAGTCCCATACTGGGGACAATCATCCAAAACACAGCATAGTGTATATTGGTGACCAGATTTACAGCATGAATGAAAGTTTTCTTTTCTTTTCTTTCAGACAAATGTGGGGACAATATCAGAATCACTAGCGCAAATTACCTCACTTCACCCGGTTATCCGGTGTCTTACTACCCGTCTCAGAAATGCACATGGGTGATTACAGCTCCAGGACCGAACCAGAGGATTTTGATCAACTTCAACCCACACTTTGACCTGGAAGACAGAGAGTGCAAGTAAGTGTTCAGTGTTCACTATTTGGTGTGGAGGTGCGCCACCTGCTGGCACTGCTTGAGCAAGACGTTCAGCTGCTGTGGAGCAGAGACCCTCATGTGTGCTTGGCTTCTTTTAGTGCTGATTTCATTTAGGTTTTCCAAAAGCATTTTTTGATCGTTGTGTAAATGTGTTAAAAATAACACTTGTTTGTGTTGGAGTTTCCTCTACACATTGTGCTGGCAGATGCCAAAAAGTGAAACAATAAGGTATTGACAGCTAGTTTTTTTTTTTTTTTACATCATGATTCAACAGTTGATACGTGGTTTGGTTGGTGCAGTCCAGTCCTCTCTTTCTCCTTCTCGTTCCGTCTGTTTCCTTTGTTTGTGCTGGCAGGTCTGAGGGACGTCATTGTACTGTCAGAGTGTGGCTGACTCTGTTACTGTATCCCCTCCACCCAAATAGTCTTCCACCTGGAGTCCTTTGTGTTCACTGAATGCCTCGTATTAATGGCACCGTTTATCAGGATCTTTACCTTTTTATGGCTCTGTAAACCTACAGAGATTTACAGCCCCAGATGACCCCGTGCTGTCTGCTCATAGGGGGGTCTGTCTCTTCTGAGAGTTCATGTTTCGCTGCCCAGAAACGACCAGACCCCCCCTCCGGTCACAGATACGCACACACTCACAAATCTCCATCCAGGGGATACTTAGAGTGAATGGAGTGTGTATAGACACATGGCGAGGACATAATGAGCCCCCCTAATGAAATTATCCAGCAATGGTTTGCCTGTGTTCGAACAAGCCACGCTAAAGAATTGCACGTTTAGCTCCCGAGGCAGTCAGAGGATAGAAACGAGTTTAACGTGAGCTCTTTAAAGTGTGCTGGGAACTGTTTAGGATTATGAAGTTGTAGGGAAAACAATTGAGGATTATCGAGTGCTTCTGACTTTTTGTAATTTTTGCATAAACTGCATACCAGTTTACAAGTTAAGTTAAGTGCTAACTTGAAGACGCACTCATGCCCTCAGCACCGCATTTTCTACTAAAACTCAGCTTCAGGGCTTTCTTCCCCTCCGTAAAACGTGCTGTGGTTGTATTTCCCCCCCAAGGCAACATATGCCATTCACTTGCATTCAGTGCCACTCTATAATCTCTCCACTTCAATCTATCATTTTAAATTGCTGTGGAGAACGGCTATTCAAACAAATTTAAAGTTGTTTAGTAATTTCGGTCGTGATTGGTCAAAAGTTATGAGCCACTGAGATTGACGCCCCACCACCTCTATCATTGTGACAAAGCAACTGAACAGCATTAATTAGGAAAATAGTGTCAATAATGCAAAATGACAATAGTAAACACTCATTTTTCAGTTAAAGACAGTTCATCATTGAATTCAGTGATGTCAACATCCAGCTCAGTTCAGTTTAAATAATATCTTTGCAATTATGTCAACGATAACGCTGGAAATGAAGTGTCCCCAACTAAGCAAGCCAGAGGCGTGTGTGTGTGTGTACTGTGTTGTGTCAGAGGCCGTCCTCTGCTGATAACACATTGCTCTGACAGCACTATGAATCATTGATGCGCCCCAATCCGCTGACCAAACAAAAACTGGAAACGTTTCCTCCCGATTGTTACATTCATGTCTTGAAGCGGTGAGGGGATGCATTGGATGGAGGAATTGTTGAAACGTGGCAAAGGACAGAGTGTAGCTTTGCTCTCAAAAGAGATAAGCTTTACTGCTTGAAGCAATATTTTTTGTACCTAGTCATAGAATGCACAACAATGGCCGGTTGGTTTAGATTTGTGCATGTGTTTGCTCAAGATGGCATTTAGAGAATGCTTGTTCAAGATTGGTCCCAAAGGAGGCCACTAGAAGGCCCTTGGCTAACCCTAAGTCTGAAAGCACAGCTTTATAGTGACCAACCTTCAGCGCCGCCCTGCTGGGTCAATCCACAAAGTGCCACATGTCCTGCAGAGAGAGCAAATACACTCTCGGCTGGCCAAACAAACCACACATCCTGTATCTGTGTTGCTCAGAGACTAAGACAAAGCTGATTAGTCATGGAGACTCTAACAGTAGATGCCTTTGATTTAGTTATGGGTTGTTTCATAAAGAAGTTTTTGGTTTAATTCATATAGATATACATTCAATGGCTGCGCTACCATTAATTTTCTCAGATGCCCTGCTGTTGATGTGAAATAATGTTGTGGCTGACAAACCGAGGTGAGAAGAGAAAGGGTAAAACAGTAGGTCTCACCAGTGTTTAAATATCAACACGGCCCTTCCACTCAGGCAGGGTCTTGATCCATTGTTTGCATGGGCTCCAGTGGAGCAGGGGCCCTGTGGGTCTCCTCTCCCCCACTGAGAGGTTCCATAGCCAGGCTGGGAATGGCCGTAACTCTCCCTGCTTCTTCCAGACACCTGACGCTGGCCCTCTCCACTCCTCCACAACGAATAAACAGAGAGAGAGCCGTACGGCATGAACATTCATCAGTGGTTGTCACGAAAGGGAAAACCAAAGAAGTATGGAATGCAACGGACCTCCTTTCATCCTCAACGATGAGGGGTTTTAAAGGCAGGGAATGCTTTGACCTCTGGGCTGTGGAGGAGGCTTGGGCTGACAGAGATTGTTTTAAATACGTATGGCCCCTGTTAACAAACATAAGCACGGCAATCTATTCTAAGGGAGGGTCAGGGAAGCAATCGTAGGATCAAAAGCATGCTGGGCCAGGCACAGAGGCAGAGTGAGTCAAACTTAGTGCTCCTAAAACAGGTGTACCACTCCTGTTTCATTTCACAAAGATGGCATTTTTTCCCTAAACGGTTGATGTGCTTTGTGTCGCCCAGCAGACAGAAAGCAGACCGTAAAGCAGGGGCTTTTGCTTCCGCGCTGAGCAGTTTGCTGTGTTGGGTGGTTGTTTCTTGTCCCTAGACTGCTTCTAAATCACATTTGTTCTGGCTCTGCGCTGGATTCTGGGTACAGGGAAAGGAGGCAGCAGCTGTCATATGGATCAAGAGTGAGGTGGTGTTACTAAAGCCAGTCCAGATGGAGAATGAGGCATAAACATTGAAAAACATACACAATAGTGCCCACATACTGTTGAGAATAGGAGATTTCAAAAACTGAGCTGTAAAAAGATGATGTATGTAATTTCTCTCCTGAAGGTTAATTGCCTTCATGCTCTGGGGTGCTTTCAAAACATTGCTGTTTGTTTGAGAATCCTGGCCAGTCTAACATAGCAACAGTTTAACCAATGACATGAGTTCGGGGTGTGGCTATTTGTCGGATCGACCAATGATATATTTTTGTAAAACCTGTTTGAAAACAGTCATTATTAGGCCATCTAATTGAAAAAGGCCTTTTAGAGGAGACCTCAACAATGTTGCAAAGTATGTCCAGTAGCACGTCAGCTATGCTATCCACATTCATTTTATAGTTCTGAAACGATAGTTGCTCTGTATTTTCCACAGTCATGCCTTTTTCACTCGTTGGCACACATTTCATCACTTCATTTTCTCCTTGGCCCTCTAAACCTCTCGCATGACACTGAGGAGCTTGAGGTTGTAAAGTGGTCCGGCTAATGAGAAAGATTAAAGCATTGTGTATCTTTCTGCATGTGTGTGTCAGGGCAAGGGGTTTTCCGCCGCTAAAGCGCTTCACCTTGGCCCGTGTGTTGGAAGGACAGGCTGATTGAAAAGCTCTCTCTCTCAGTGACATCTGCTGTCCTCCCTGCTGTTCTGTCACTGGCTTGATTCATGTCCTCCTCATTCTCTTGCTCTCCGTCTCTCTCTCGGAAAGCCTAGGCACTTTGCCGCTCAGCGTGAGCTTATCTACGAGGGGAGGAGAGAGTGATGAAGTAGGGAAGAAAAGGAAGAGAGTGTTAGTGAAAAGTGAGTAGATGAAGAGGAGGAGGCAGACAGGATGAAAAACAGTGGAAGATTCAAATAAAAACACTACAGGATATGTGAGTTATAGTTGGATAAATGGCGCTTAAAAGAAGGAGTAGGCTAACCAAAATCAATTAGGAATTAACAAAGTTGTAGCAAACCTCCACCATTGTTGCAGTAAAGCACAGAAGCAAATCTCAAAATGCTCCCACTGACAGAAGAATGATGAAGCTTCTAAAGAGAATCTGGCAAAAGTCTATCCCGCTTTCCACACAGAAAAGGTTTCCCAATATGGAAGTTTCTGTTTTTCTTGCTGTGAGCCATGAGTAAATCTTGTTGTTCATTTATGTTTTGTTCCAGCTCAGATGTACTTAAGTAGAGCTTTACAAGTTGCATGATTAAAGAACAATTTGTTAATCTCATCACTGGATTTAGATGTGAAGATATGACTTTGTGATATGATAAAATGTAGGTAAGAAAAACTGTTGTAAAGGAAAACTGTTGTCGAACACCACTTGGCATTTAGGTCATGTCAGATAGCTCTGAGGCCATATGTATGCTAGTGCACACCTAAAACTTAAAATTGAAAGTCTTTAAAGCCACAAATATTGATGACTTATCTTCCATGTATGGGCATATATATATAAATATTGCCTTATAAAATGTAAACTTAAGTGTGAAATATCTCTGCTATTTAGCAATGGCAATATGAAATATTACAAGCAAGGAAAAAGGAGTCATCTACAAAAAGTAAAACTTCTTAATGTCTGAGCTTCTGCATTATGCATGTAAATATGCAGTGGAACATAAATCCCTAATTTTGTTTAGATGAAGCTCATTAGCAACAGGGCAAGATGTTTCCATTCAGAGGCCCATATATGGAATCCGAGAACGAGAAACACAGGGAGAGAGAGAGTGAATGAGGGAAAATTACCACTGCTTAGGAAACAAGAGTTGAGGTTCTCAGCAAGATTGGTTAAAGATCTGATTCGAGACAACCTGATTTTTTAAGCTCCCCTAGAGAACATCAGAAGGGTCTAAGCTTTAATTGATGTGGTCCTGTTGGAGAGCTAATGCACCATGTCTGCACTTGCTGGCCTTGTTTAGTTTGCTGCCAGAGCCGCAAATGGCC